GGTGAGGAGCCAAACCTGGGTAAACTCGTGTGTCTCTCGTCCCGCTCAACCCCTTTAAGCTGATCACCATAGCCATGGCTTCACACCTAAGTCCTTTCACGAGGGCATATGCCGTGATAAAACCATGACAATCGGGCAACAAATGCAGCGCGAATACAACGACTGCAAAAATGGGTAGAACCAGAGGGATAATCCTAACGCTTGGTCGCTGTTAAATTTAAGATCAATGTTAGCAGCCTTGGCCATGAACTGGAATTAGGTGGGCAGGGCAGAGTTCCACGATACACCTTATCCATTGTCCTTCTCCCTGTCGGCGGCTGTAAAATGCATTGATGGCTGGCCATCAAACTGGAATCAGGATGCCAGACATGGTCTCAAATTCATGGATAGTCGGGTTGCCAAACTGAAATCAAGATGTGAGACCTCCCTCAAAACTCTAGAATCTGCAAAAGAGAGGGGCGAGTTGTACCAGCAGGGGAAGACATAGATGGCGTGGAAGGAAAACAGAAGCACAAGACGCTGATTCTACCACCACTGCCATAGTGGGTCATGGCACGCGCCTCTCGCGCTGAACAGCCGCATCACCGCTTCCCATCCCCTTGTCGGAGCTTGCATTGATATGTCAGCCTTTTGCCGTACACGATCCTGCTGCGCCGTGCATCCAAACCGAACGAGGCAATCAAGGGGACCCCGTGCCGTTGCCCGGCGAGGCACTGGCCGAACCCAGTGCGGTCGCCATGGGATTCGTGGCTCCGACTTCAATCACGACCCAGATTGGTCGTCCATGGGAAGAGTCGCCATGCAAGGGGAAGGGTGAGAGGCATGCGTCCTTGGATAGAAAATGATGGCTTCACCACAGGGGGAGGCGTGCGCCGGGCTCATTCGGCTCAATTAACCTAAGACACCCAAAAAATCACCAGAGCAGCGGCCCGGGACGGGTTATGATCGTTGGTAGCGAGCGATTAGGTACCATTCACAGCCGGCCAAAAATGCTCAAAATTAATGATCCAACGGACATAACTTCAAATGGCCCGAGAGGACAGGATAAGTGCTCGGTTATAATGTATCTAAATATTCTTACTAATCCATCATTACTCACTAGAATGATTCTAATATCACCATCTTTCTATCTCAAAACAAATGCAAGGAATCAAACTTCTCATATATTCAATGATCTTCATGAAAGTTTTTATTACATCCCTCTTGAATACCCATCATCTTATGACTAAATTCATAACCTAAGCAAATTTCGATACTATTTATAAGACTCCCAAAATAATATAAGTGAACCATAAGAGTTCACAGTTTGTACAAAATAAAACCACCGTCGTGCTCTAAAAAGATATAAGTGAAGCACTAGAGCAACTACCTAGCTCAAAAGATATAAGTGAAGCACATAGAGTATTCTAATAAATTCGCGATAAGTGTGTGTCCCTCTCAAAAGGTGTCTACAGCCAGGATGATTGTGGCAAACTAAAAATCAAAGACTCACATAATACAAGACGCTCCAAGCAAAACACATATCATTTGGTGAATAAAATATAGCCTCAAGTAATTTTACCAATGGATTGAAGACAAAAGAGGGGATGCCATCTGGGGCATCCCCGAGCTTAGATGATTGGTTGTCCTTGAATATTACCTTGGGGTGCCTTGGGCAGCCCCAATCTTAGGCTCTTGTCACTCCTTATTCCGTAGTCCATCCAAACTTCACACAAAACTTTAAAACTTCACAACACAAAACTCAACAGAAAACTCATGAGATCCCTTAGTGAAACAAAGCAAATAACCAATTTTAGTTATTGTAGCAAACTCATTCCAATTTTATATTGGTGTTATATCTACTGTATTCTAACTTCCTGATGGTTCATACCCCCTAATACTACCCATAGATTCATGAAAATAAGCAAACAACACAATGAAAACAGAATCTGTCAAAAACAGAACGGTCTGTAGTAATTTGGACATTAGCCAAACTTCTGTAACTCCAAAAATTCTGAAAAATAAGAAAATATGGGAAATTTGTACATTAATAAGGTGGAAAAAATACAGATTTTTTAGTCGCTCCAGTAGATCAGATCAATTCTGTTATTGGGCGCAAAAGTTTTTGTTTTCTCATAAAATCAAATCAACAATCTTCCAAACCATCACAAAGGTCTTACTTGGCGCAAACACTAATTAAAACACTAAAACACAATCGTAACAGAAGTATAATTGCATATTTATTTTAAAAAGAAGCAAAAACATAAAAATAAAATTGGGTTGCCTCCCAACAAGCGCTATTGTTTTATGCGCCTAGCTAGGCATAATGCATAGATCTAGGTATTGTCATCTTTGGTATTCCATCCATAAGAAGCCCAAATAATAGATTTATATGGCAACATAATTTTCTTTCTTGGAAAGTCTTCTATACCCTTCCTTAATGTAAATTGAAATCTAATATTTCCTTCTTTCATATCAATAATTGCACCGATCGTTTTAAGGAAAGGTCTATCAAGAATAATAGGGCATGTAGGATTGCAATCTATATCAAGCACAATAAAGTCTATAGGAACCTAATTACTATTTGCAACAATAAGAACATCATTAATTCTTCCCATAGGTTTCTTAATATTGGACTCCGCTAACTGCAAATTTAAGAAACAATCATCAAGCTTATGGAAACCTAGCACGTCACATAAAGTCTTCGGAATAGAGGAAACGCTAGCACCCAAATCACTCAAAGCATTGCACTCATAATATTTAATCTTAATCTTAATAGTAGGTTCCCATTCATCATAAAGTTTTCTAGGGAGTGAAACTTCCAATTCAAGTTTTTCTTCAAAATATTTCATCATAGCATCAACGATATGTTTGTAAAAGCCTTATTTTGATTATAAGCATGAGGTGAATTAAGCATGGATTGCAACAAAGAAATACAATCTATCAAAGAACAATTATCATAATTAAAGTCCTTGAAATCCAAAAGAGTGGGATCATCACTAGTTAAAGTTTTGACCTTGCGAATCTCACCTTTATCAATTTTTTCATTAAGATCTTTACCCTCTATATTATTGAGACGCCTTCTACCTAAAGTTGACTCATCTCCAGTCCATTATTTATCAAATTTTATATTAGCAAACAAAGACTCAATAGGAGTCACACCAATCACTTTAAGATCTTCATCATGATTCAAAGATTCAGGTTTAGCAGCCATCTTATTTACTAATGTGTTTTGCTTATCAGAAATTAGTCCTACTAAATTTTCAGTATGAGCAAGTTGAGATTTAGAGCCAAAGACTTCCTTAGTAACATCATCAAGCTCTTTATTAATATATTGAATCATATTATTTTGTTCTTTAAGTTAGTTCCTAAAGAAACTATTGTGTTGAAACTGTAAGGACATGAAACTTTTTTGCATTATTTTAAATTTCCTCTTACTTCCTGTGGTAAAAATCAAGATCTTTAAATTGATACATGATGGAAAAGCAAGCAATCTAGCACAAAAGCAAACAAAAATACGAATGGAAAGAAGGCGAATAAAAAAGGCAAATATTTTTGTGTTTTTCTAAAAATGTTTTAGAAGTGGGGGAGAGGAAAAAAGAGAGGCAAATTGTAAATAATGTAATGCAAGAGATGAGAGTTTATTATAGGTACTTAGTAGGCTTGATGTAGAACCTCCCCGGCAATGGCGCCAGAAATTCTTCTGGCTACTTCTTGAGCTTGCGTTAGTTTTTCCCTTGAGGCTTTGTTCGGTTGCCTCTGGTAGAATCCACATGTGGTTTCTAACCTCCCAGGGATTTGATGAACCCCATCTTGTCACCCAACCCCCACCATTCCCCATCCATTTGAATTCATGTGTGCATAACATGTCCGGTTGCTCCCCTGCTAATCCATACACAAAGACAACATTGTTCCATAGAATTAAAAGACCACACAGCCTACATGCTCTTTTGCAGTACGAAAATATTAAAGAATATAAGAGAAGGAACTGTACAAGATATAGGATGTTACATAATTTATTTATCGCAAATAAACAGTAAAATCGATGAAGATATAATACAGATGTTACATAATTTATCTCAAATAGACAACAAAATAATCCTAAAAATTCCCAGTTTTCCCAAACTGGAATCGGTCACTTCCATAATATGGTTTAGCATCTCTGGAAAAATCATTCAAGATATAATACAGATGTTACATAATTTATCTCGACGATGTCGCTTCCATAGTGATTGATGCACTACATTGGCAACAAAGGCAGTTAGTCCATATCAAAGGACTAATATGGGAGTAGTATACATGAAAAAAGAAATAAATATGAGATGTCTTACTTTTGGCAATCAACAATCAAGTGAGCAAAGCAATACTGACAAGATATATATTGACCAGCTAGCAAAGAAAGATCAAATGGACAGCAACATCGTATCCATATGCACCAAACAGATCACAACTATATGGTAAAAACTTAAAACACATGGACTGATCCAGGCACATAAAATTGGAGTCTTTGCTTAGTTATCAAACAGCAGCAGCATGATGGGAGGCATCAACAACCATAGTTAAAGGGAACAACAATTAACAAGTTGCAGTAGTTATAGAACTTTGTTTTATTATCATAAACAACTAGAATAAGAAATGGAGCTTTTTATGTGAGCTAGTTGAACCATTAGCTTCAGGTTACTAGATGAACAAGGTAGGTTCATGTGATCTACATGAACATGTGTGTCCCAGTAGGGGTACCATGAAAACCAAGGTTGTACATCAAAACTACATGCTAGCAATGGGCATATTAAATAGAAGCATAATTTGAGTATCTGGGTTATTCCATTTCAGCTCTCAGGCACATAAGAGCAGTCTCTGGTCTGGCACTCATGAAAATCTCTTGGTTCTCGGGGATCTTGAAGACTCACAAAGCCTTGACTTATTCTTTTAGGTGTGATGTCTATTGTTTTCAGCAGATCAACGCAGTTTTTGATAGAGTACTCATCCACAACCCTTGGCTTATTCCTCTCATCCTCCACCTACTTTGCCCTCATTTCCAAGTACTTCTCCATCATTGCAGCCACATCACCATTCGCCCCCCTCCATCTCTTTGGTTCTTTCTCTTCTCCATTTCTTGAGGGTGCAGTAGCCAGATTTGGTTGAGTTTCCTGGGGCTCCACAACAATGTTTTCTTGCACATACACCTCCTCAACATCTTCATCAATTTGCACCCTTTCTCCTCCAAGATTCTCACCATCAGTTGATATTTCTCCTTGATTCTCACCAGCTCCTCCAAGATTCTCAATATGTGATTGGGTTGAGCAATGTGATGACTCAATAGAGGTGAAGTTATATGTCCCTTTTGCAGTTTGCCTACAAGTTAAAGTGACAATCAAATATAAGATTTCAAACTAGAAGAGTAAACAAACATAAAACAATCACATCAGTATATGAATGAAGTTGATAACTAACCATCATGCAATTCTCTCAAAGCTTCAAAAAGAGGGAAGGCTTTTGTCTTGAACTTTCCAGCTTTAGGATGTGACTATATAGTTGACAACAAACTGATACTAGAGCTTGCAACAAGTAATTAAATTTTTAAGGAATAACAATGACATTCTTCTTATGATGATGTTTTTCCAAAGAGGTTGATCCGCTAGAATCTTGCACTGTCGATCGTCCCATGAAACACCACTTTGCTTCCATATCTCTTTGATCATCGTGTATTCTCTTTTTAACTCTTTCTCCTTTTCCTGGATTTTCTTCTTCTCGTACCTAGCATAAGGATTATTTTGGTGGAATTTCTTCACTATCATATTTCATGCTTCGAAGCTCCATCCATTTTGACCCTTATGTTCAGGTGTATCATGCTCACGAAGAAAGTCCACAAGATCTTTCTCAAGGCTTGTATTCCATTGTGCTCTATCTTCTGCATTTCCACATTGCATGTTAATGTACCTTTTTATATCGTAACTACTTTGGTTTTAAGCAAATAAAGTCCCGACTAGAGAAATAAAATCACGGCTAGTTTATTACCTTTGGGAGACCCTCTCCTCCTCTTTGTCACACTGCCTGTAGGAGGTGATGCTCTATCCCTTTTGGCAGCTTTTTTGAGGAGGATCAACCATGGTGACCCTCGAGCAGTCATCATAGTGACTTCTGAACAATATTCATGACATGAACAACAAAAGAAAAAACATAAACTTCTACACTAAACTTATTACTACTACACTACAAATGACAAGATAAGTTATGTATATTGATAATCAGCCCACATTTGATGAGCAATGGCATCTCTAAAGTTGTCACCTTCATGGTTGATTTGATGATTTTGAGGAATATCACCGTCAGGAAGATCCACAAAATTCATGATAGGTATATTGTTTGGTTGGTTATCTAACCAACGCTCATCTCCTTTTTCAGATTGGATGATGTTATGTAAGATTGCCGCTGCTGCTGGTAGCTTGATTTGGTTCTCTACTCAATCATGCTTGCCCACTTTTAAGATTGGGAACCGCTTCTTCAAGATTCGTAATCCCCATTCGACGTGATTCCGTAACATGGCATGTCGGAGATTGAATAGATCCCTGTGAATTTGGGGTCGACGAAGACTCTGTGCAAACTCCTACAGATGGTACCGAACACCATGATACGGTGCCAAGAAGTAAGTTGTGTTAGCATAACCACCATCAACCAGATAAAACTTGCTCGGAGGTGCATGAAACCCACTGTTAAGTGCTGACCAAAGAACTTTAGCATCAGTAGCAGATCCCTCCCATCCACAAGAAATGAAGGTGAAGTTCAGGTCAAAGTCGCACACGACCATAACATTATGGCTTAGGCTCCCTTTTCTATTTCTGAATGGTGCGGCTTTTTCTCCTGAAATTGTTATAGGAACATGTGTCCCATCAATTGCCCCAATACAGTTCTGCAACGAAATACTATAACTTAGCACCTATAACATGAAGAGTAAGTTATCGATGAGGATCAAAGTTGACGAAGAAAACCCTAAAAATAAGGAAAGAATATCGTGTCCAACTGAATCTTCGGATGCACTTGACTGGGATTTGTTGGCTTCAAAAAATGCTTGGAGAGAATAGGGATGATGTCAAAGAATTTCTTCATTTGCCAATGGAAAGTATCCCCAATGTGACCAAACCAAACTTGAAGGTCTTCAAATGAAGAATTATGGGATTACATCCACAAAAATTATGCTAGTTTCTCCTCGACTTTAATTCTGATATCAATTAGCTAAAGATTTGAAGATATGCGGCTCCATCCTAAATGCTATCTGACAGTTTTTGACGTGCCCTTCGAGTAACTCCTTAACAAACATCTCGCATGTTAGCGATGATGTATGACGCGGAATCCTACACTCCCTAAGAGCAACTCCATCGGTACCTATCAAATGTAGTGCAGGTAAAATGAATAACATCATTTCATCATCATCCTCCTCCCTCTTCCTAACATGATCCCTCATTTCCAGATTCATTCCAAGTCTAAAGAAAAAAATGTCGCTAGTTATTACTACTACACCTAAACAGTAAGAGTGCAAGTTGTACAAACAAATAGTTCATATGTCCGGCATGAGAACATCATCTAGCAAAAGGACAACACTGGAAAAACGGACAACTGCAATGTCTAGTAATGTCAATGGGAAGGTGGTAGCACTTGAGCTCAAAGGATTAACAAAGTTTGTAACACATATCTATTGACCAAGAAATAATAATAAACAGTAATATGAATAAGGAGAAGATTAAAACTACAGGATTAATCCACCTTGTCCTTCATGATGCTACCCAATTCAGGGTCTTGCTGCAGCTGAGGCAACGAAGCTAGCCTATAGAAAATGGAGACAAAATACAAATTTAGCTATATTTTTGTTATGTACACAAACTACACTATGTATATTTAGATAATCAAGAATAAGAATCAAGAACAGATGATGATTACACAGCATGAAGAGAACAACTTATATACTCTAACAATGATCGTACCAGAAGTATATTATGTTCAGAAAGAAGAACATGCTATTTGAAAATTAATTTGCATGTTGCAGTTTGAACAGACTAAAATGTTGACAACTGCAAGAATAAACAACAACATATAAGTTCTTAGCTGATGAATGAGTAAAACACATTTGTTAGCTGATGCAATTACACATACTTCTTAGTAATTAACTAAACCAAAAACCATATGAATGAGTAATTAACTTATCAGCATAGGTAACCTAGCTAACCTTCCTTTCTCATTTCAATATGCAGTGACAACACCCAGCAAGCAACCACTGCATTACCTATCTAAATAACAATTGATTCTAGTTCCTAGGAAACCCCAAGAAAGTCTCGACCTTGACATTCGGGAAGACAGATCAAAATTCGGCTAGGTTTTCATGGAGGGGGTGAATTAGTGCTGCTAGAGAGAGAGAGAGAGAGAGAGAGAGATGGTGGGAGGGGGAGGGCGAGGTAGAGAGAGAATTAACCAGAGATCTCGTCGCCTGCAGCAACCACTTCTCTAGAGCTAGGGTTTTGGCCACAGCAAGGGGGCAGCGGGGGAGATGATACAATTGGAGGTTAGGGTTCCGGCAGGGCGTCACAGTAGGTCATCCAACCAGGGGGACGCCCTCCTCTCCATGTAGGTTGCGCTGCCGCTACCGTCCACTCGCCGCCGCTGCCTCCTTTCGCTTCTGTCGCCTCGCTCGGGGGAGAAGAGATGAGCACCTCGCTCGGGGATTGCTTCCACCGGGTTCTAGGAGATGTTTTTTTCGCGTGGGTTTGGAGGGGTTTGGGCTGGGGAAATACCACACGGGGCTTAACCGAATGGAAAAAGTTGGGTGGGCTGGGTTTATTCCCCGGCAGGGGAAATCCCTACGGACCCGCGTGGATTAGACCCAAAACCTTGCGGGGCTGGGCTTAACCGAATAAGGCCTGAAGAGGAAAGGGTGATGCAGCAAAGTAGAGATAAGTATTTCTCTCTGTTAAGAACCAAGGTATTAATCCAGTAGGAGGAACACACAAGTCGTCAATGATAGCACCTGCACAAACAAACAAATACTTGCACCCAACGCGATAAAGGGGTTGTTAATACCTTCACGGTTACTTGCAAGGATGAGATCTGATAGAGATAGGTATAACAAATAAATAAAAGTGAAAAATAAGGTAAAGGTAAAAAAATTGCAGCAAGGTATTTTTGTGTTTTTGGTTTTATAGATCCTAAAATAATATGATAAGAATAGACCCGGGGGCCATAGTTTTCACTAGAGGCTTCTCTCTTGAAAGAACGCATACGGTGGGTAAACAAATTAATGTTGAGCAATTGATAGAAAAGCGCAAAGTTATGACGATATCTAAGGCAATGATCATGAATATAGGCAGCACGTCCGTGACAAGTAGATCGACTCCTGCCTGGATCTACTACTATTACTCCACACATCAACCGATATCCAGCATGCATCTAGTGTATTAAGTTAACAAGAACCGAGCAACGCCTTAAGCAAGATGACATGATGTAGAGGGATAAATCCAATAGATATGAAATAAACCCCATCTTTTTATCCTTAATGGCAAAAATACAAATATGTGCCTCGCTACCCCTTCTGTCACTGGGTGAGGACATCACAAGATTGAACCCATCACAAAGCACCTCTCCCCTTGCAAGAAAATCAATCTATGTCGAATTCAGGGCTCCACAGACCCAAGTAAGTTTCAAACTCTGGGGCGTGTGTGAAGAACTCAACCTCTCCAGCCGACCAGCTCATCGCCCTATGGCCTAGCTCGAGTCATGCGATCAAGGGAGAAGATGGACACGGCAGTTTACCCAGGTTCGGGCCACCTAATGGTGTAACACCCTACTCCTGCTTTGTGGTGGATTGGCCACACGAGGGGCTGTGGATGAACTAGTACCAGGAATGAACAAGCTCGCGAGGACTGCTCTAGTGAGGGTGGAAAGGATACGATCCCCTGCTATGGTGGTAGCTAACCTATACATATAGTGGCATCAGTCCTCTTCCCCCAAAATGTAGGTGGGAAGGGATTCCACAATGGCCAATTTGAAAGGGGACAAGTAGTACATATTATCCTAACGAAAGGTAGTCTTTGCCCACAAAGCTTCTGGTCGTGACGCAATGGTGGGCTCGACGATGACATCCGTCCTGCCGTGCTGGTGATCTTCTTCTTGTTGCACAGGAATGGAAACCTTTGCCAGATTCCTCAGGAACCCACGCCTGCGCTTGCCTCCTTAGCACCAAAGAGGAAATTGCCTTCTCTACGCCTGTTGGCGCCCGCCAACCTTGGTCGTCATGGCTTGCGTCATCACAACCTCAGGAGGTTGGGTACCTGCATGGAAATCTCCGCTTCTCAGGAGGCAACCTAGGAAGGCCGCTCCCTTAGGAGGTCCTGGCGTCGTCCGCCTCGCGAGGGTCTTGTCTTGATAGTCTTGGAGGTGGGTCATACCAGGCCATCGAAGGAGCCACACCATGGGCCGCAGGCAGGCAAGTCTGGGTATCCAGGTTCCCAGAACGTCGGTAATAGCCCCCGGGCCCAAGGCACGCTCGGACTTGGCTTCAAGGAGAAGCTAAAGGGCAAAGGGCTAAGCGCCGCAGGCCCCAATCACCTGCGAACCAGGATGACGTGTGGCACTTGGTGGGACATGGGCGTCTCCGCTTCACCGTGCCACATCGGCAAATGCTCAACTTGGCAACTGCCTGATGCATGCAGAAGGGCCATCATTGCTTCGAATGTGAGAGGCCGCTGGTTAGCCTTCCTCCGGCTATAAATGGGGGGAGGGGGCGGAGCCCCTAGCACATTTCCATCTCCTTGCTGTTCACTCCTTCTTCTTCATCGTGCCATCGTCTTGCCAAACCATCCATGGCGCCAGTGAGGAGGTTCTCGTCTGCCGAGAAGGGAAAGGCCCCCAAGGAGGGACCAAGCTTTCCACTGCCCAAGAGGGGTCGCGGCCGTCCACGCAAGTACGTTGCGATACCGGCGGTGGCTCCCCGAGGGCGTGGGCACACCCCCTCGAAGGTTGGCACCGCCTCCGGCGGTCGTGGAGGTGTTCTCTCCCGCGCCGGAGGTATCGGAGGCCGAGGTGGCCGCGGCCAGGGAGGGAGGCACCGCACTCACGATCCCATTTGGTTGATGCATCCTTAGAGTTCGTGGTGTGGGCGGAGAGGTATGCAGGCGTCTGGTTCCAGCTTTCGCGCTTCTTTGTTGGTGCACTGCCGGCAGGGGGACTTCGCGGCCTCTGGCTGCAGGCTGAGGGTTGCTGTAGCAAGGCCTCATGGGTGGAGGTCGAGGTCACCCCTGCCGGCAATGTGTTCCTGAACCACGGGTGGCAGCCGTTCGCCTGCGTGCGTGGCCTGTAGGGGAGGTGTACCCTCCACTTCAGGCACGATGGTGCCGCGACCCTCTATAACAGGATCTTTAGGGAGCACGACAAGCGCCTGGGGTGCTGCCCGGAGAGCGATAGCGATGATGACGACGTCCACCCCTCCAACAACGACGGTCGGAGGGGCGGTGGCTTCCCTGACAGAGAACTTTCCCTTGGCGATGGTCGCGACGCCTCCAGCAGCAGCGGCTCCTCCTCCGGGGAGAGCACGAGTGATAGCGACTATGACGAGACGCCGGGACACAGAGCTCGGACCGGGGAGGGCGACGAGCTGCCTCGACGTCGCTCCCCAGTGAAGCAGGAGGAGGATTCCAACTGAGCACGTGCGTCACTAGAGCCGGGTCTTGGGAGCCATGGTGGTCATGAGGCCGCTTTTGCTTCTTTTTTTCTGCATCAAGAAGTAGAAAGCCCTGCCGGGGCATCTAACGAACCATGGTGCTTGCGCTGTTATATTAACATTTTTATATTATATCCTGGCATTCATATTGCTACTAATTGACGGGTTCTTGCTGATCGTGATTGGGATAACTTAGCTTAGTGTGCTTGCGGTAGACTCTCATGCCGCGAGGGCATGATTCTCTAGAGCTTGGAATGGGGCCTCCGGAGATGTTCCACAGGGCGCCGCGCCCCGTGAGGACCAATCGCCAAGGGTACGCAAGGTCGCGATGCCCAGCGAGGCCAGGGGATGAGGGCTCATGGGGAATGCACACGCCCGTCGGCTCGTTCACGAGCGTCGCGCGAGGATTAAGACACCAAAGCTAGGGCACCAGGGCTTTGGCGAGGTGTGTTCGTGGGCGGATCCAGACATACACACCATGCCCAGCCCTCGCTCGTGAGATGCGCGGAGAAGAGCGACTAGCAGCTGCCGCTCCCCGAAAGCAAGGTTGGAAAAGGTAAACACTGCAAGGAGAAAAAATTCCCAACCCTTTCAAATAAAGATGCTTGAACTATGAATTTCATTCCAAAAAGTGGAAACCAGCTACAGAAAGCAAGCAAAAGAGCAGTCACGTCCGGCACCTATACTAGTCTTCTGGTCTTCCCACCAGCTCGGAGCATGGGGCTTCCACTAAGATGTGGGTATGATATGGACATGGCCTATATAGATAT